AAACCACCCCAGTCACTGTCCTTGGAAATAAATATCTTCCCTATGCAGATCTGCAGCCCTCAGTCTACACACTTCTGTTGAATTCTATCACAGGTGGAAATCTTAGATTCACTTCTTAGCCCCCCGATAGCCAGATTGTGTGACCTCTAACACATTATTCATCTGTAAACTCTCAGAACCTAGCAAGGCCCACACTATGAGCCCAGTAAACATCGATGAATAAACCAATGGAGCAATCTCTCATGAAACAATAAAGTATGGAAAGGAGTAGGGAAGGACATACAAGGAACTATGGGGGTAAAGGAGAATAAGAGAATGGTATAAGGGGATACAGGTATTATCAAGGAGAAAATGGGGGTACTTAAACTGGGGCAGGAGGAGAGAGGTTAGAGAGGGAGAGAGAGGGGAGATAAAGCTTAAGTGGTATTAAAAAAAAAAGAGGGAAATGTATTAACTGAAAAAAATCCTGAAAAATAAAAATATAGTATCTGAAAGTGAGTGCATGTACATAACTGAAGGTCATATAACAAGAAACACAGTGCCAGACAGGAGGAACCTATCTAATTGGACTTAAAGCCCTCAAGGGGAGGGAACTCACAAGTGGCACTGTAAATATAGCCAAATACACATGGCTGGAAAGTCATAAATCCTAGAGAAAAACATATGTATCATATCTCTAGACAAATGAGATTTCTTATTGTATGCTAAATAAGGATCCTTATATTTACAGACAAATATACCATACACCACTCATCAAAGAATCTTTTTGCAACAGATAGAGGCTATTACAGAGTTCTACAATTGGTAACACACACAGAATATATGTATGAGAGTTGCCCAGCCCTAAGTGACACATCTACAGTGAAACCTTGATACCTAAAGCTCATGGAACATAGAGAAACAGGGGGTAGAGAGAATACTAATACAACTCTCACCAGTGAAGCTTCCTCATACAACAAAGTGTAATGCACAAACAAGACCACAGCTGGCCAATCTTTAGAGAATAAGAGACTGCAGAACAAGAGACCCTGGAGAGGGCTCCTATATGAAACCTCACCCACCCATGGTTCAGGGGCCATTGTGGAAGACAGGGTAGAAAGATTGTAAGAGTCAGGGTTGGTACATGAACATAAGGAAACAGGGGCTTTCAGATATCTGGTAACTTGCTCATATGAACTTGCCACAATGGTGACAGTATGCACAAGACCCATGCCAACTCAACTGAAAAAAACCCAGCATAGCAGCAGGCCCCAACCCTAGCCAAGGAACTATAAGAAACTGATCACAGCAGGGTAAAAGGATCTTCTTTAAGGGAGTGACTCCAAATAGGCTGACTAGACTCCAGGGGATAAACCTGCACCAAAGGACATCTGGGTACAAATGTTTGATTGGATAGGACTTAACATACGACAGAATGCATGAAATCTGGTGGGGAGGAGCCATGGGGAGGCATGGATGAGCAAGGGGGGTTTAAATTTGATTAAAATCTATTATAGGGGGGCTGGAAAGATGTCTCCATGATTAAGAACACTCGTAGTTCTTGCAGAAGACTGGGGTTCAAATCCCAGCACCCACATGGCAGCTAACAACTGTCCCGTAACTCCAGTCCCAGGGGATCCAACAGCCTCTTCTGACCTCCGTGGGCATTGCACAACACGGGTGCTCTTACCTACATGCAGGAAATACACGAATACACATAAAATAAAAATAATAAAATTTTTAAAAATCTATTAAATGAAATGCACAAAAACTCAGTAAAGAAATTTTTTTTTAAAGAGAAAGTAAATTATGAAGCACCACATGCCATCTCCCTGTCACTCCAGACAGAAAATCCATGCTAAAAATTGGGGAATAATATTAAGATGTGGGCGGTCAACTGTGATTTGTAGAGCAGCAGGTCTGAATGAGCAAAATGACCCCAATACTGAATTTGTACAGAGATTGGACTGGCCAAGACTGTCACCCACACAACCCTAAGGAGAATCTGTGTCTCTGTCCAGAGTGCTGAGATTTCAGTAAGAAAGACCTGGCTCCATTTCAAAACCAGAGAAGGCCAAGTAGGGATGGAATACAAATGTTTACATATTTATTTATACTTGCTATAAAAACTTTCTTCTCGCCCAGGATCTTAGGACAGTCACATTCAATCAGCTACAGCTCAGTCAGTTTAAATAGATTAAACTGACTCTGTTCTGTAAAAGAAGTCACCAAGTTCAAAAGTGGCAGCAGCCAGGCACAAGCCTTTAATTCCAGGACTCCAGAGGCAGAGGCAGATGAATCTCTGTGAGTTCCAGGCTATCCTGATCTACACAGGGAGTTCCACACCAGCCAGGGTTACATAATGAGATCCTGTCACAAAGAAAGAAAGGGGAGGGGAGCATCATTTAGCTGGGCGTGATGTCTCCTGCCTGTAATCTCATCACTCTGGAGATAGAAGGAGGAAGATCAGGTGTTCTAAGAGAGGAAGTGACTACAGATTCTGGACAAAAACTAAACTCACCCCTTGTGGGTTTTCCTCATCAGACTGCACCAAATCTCTGGTATTTGGGCAGGTGACCACGCCTTTAAAGGCATGAATTTCCTGACATCTAAGAGGAGTCAATACACAATTAAGATGGAACAAGCCTTCAGTGAATCATCAGTGTGTGGCAAGCACTTTTCTTTTTTAATCCTCTCCAAACCCCATGAAGTGGATATGATTGTTCTCATTTTACAGATGAGAAAAGCAGGGCCGAGAAAGGTAAAGCAGCTTTCTCAAGGCCACTCCACAAACATGCAGGACTGCCTGGTGAGAAGTTCAATAAGAAGCACAATCCAAGGCCACAATGAGACCAAGACTTTCCTTCACTCCGCCCTCGACCCTTGGCTGCTCATGGCCTTCTGCACATGTGTTTTTCTAGCAGTGGAATAGCAATGGCACAAAGGCTTATGATTTGTTCATGTTAATTTTTTCTAATTTTCTGAAATTTTATAATGTAATTTTTTTTTACACATCATTAATCTTACCTTATGCCTTAACTTATCAAAGAGTCAACAAGGCTTAACATAGTAACCAGATTCCCTAAGAGTCTTCAATGGCCTTAGAAGGCCAGTTCCACTTCCTCACACATGCTTCTCCTTAGCTGAGTGCCCCTCCCATACCATCAAGCTTACTACTCACCCAGTGGCTGCTGGGTAATGAGGCTGGCTGCCCAGAGCAGACAGACAGAGGCAGAGAAGGTCACTTCCTTTCTCCCCTTACCACTTGACACCTGTGGAATATGTCAGCCCAGGTGCCTGGTCCTTCCTAGTGCACTTTTTTTACATGAAAATGACCATCACCCCATATCTAGCTTTGGGATGCCTTGAAGTTTCTATTCCCTATAGCTCATCACAGTGACAAATTAAGTGTCCATTCCACTAACAGGAAAGTCAAAACCCATGATATTTAAGAAACTTACCCAAAATCAACCATTCAGAGACCAGCAAAGCCAAAAGTCACAAAATCCAAACAACTCCTGTACTACTTAAATTAACAGAGGCATTGTTCTATAAATTTCTACCCCACCCCAAATGATCAGAGGCCTTTATGCTTCCTCTGCCCCCCAGCCTTCTACCTCCAGTTCTCTCTGACCTATGCTGTGCTCCATGACAGAATCTTTTTCTTTTTCTTTTTTTAAAAAAATTTATTGATAATTTCATACCCGCATATAAGATGTTTTGATCAAATCCATGCCCACTCCCTCCCCTCCAACTCCTCCTGTACCTCCCCATCGCTTTTTGACAGAATCTCTTTTTCATTGTGTGTTGCCCTAACTCAAAACACCCATGCCTTTTCCTTTCCTGCAGTCTGTGCTCTGTAAACAGCAATGGCTTAGAAAACAACACACTTGAGGAAGACAGCTGTCTTCTACATCTCTCATGATAAATTCTCCACATTATCACACAAACATTTAATAAAGTAGGGTTCTGTCTGTAGGAGGAAATGCAGATTTAACAGGCATAATATGGAAACATTGCCATTCACCAGGGAAACTTTAACTAGATTAAGCCGCGAAGCATGCATCAATCAGCCTAGAAGGGAAGATAATTCTAACTGTACGAATGTCACCAGCACATTATATAAATCCCTTAGGTGGCTTTTTGCACTTTCTACCTGGAGTTGTGGTTATTCTCACACCTCTTTCCTACCACAGTAGTCCCTCCTGAAGTACTCAATTACCCCTTGACTCCACCTTCCTCTCATCTGTGTCTTGCATAGAACAGACACTCAAATCCTTTCGTTAAGTATTAATACTGTATGAAGAATCCGCCTATGAAAAATAGTAAAAGTAGCCTAGCGTAAAGACAAGTTGACACAGATTATGCTGCACGGGTGTGTCAACTTTAGTGGGCTGCTCTGCTTCAGAGGCCCAAGGGACTGCTACCAAGCTGCCTAAAGGACCAGAGAAGTCTACTGTGGTGTGAAGCCTGATCCTCTAAACGCGATTGCCAGTACTCTCTCTGTCCTCTCCACAAAGAAAAAAAAAAAAAAAAAAAAAATTACCCATCACCCTAATCGGTGGGGGAGTCTAAACACCAGTAGGCCCTCTGTTTGGGCAGATTCACAGCCGAAAAAACAGGTCCCCACCCAAGCTACCACACACTAAGAACGCAAAAAGCCTGTAAGTAGCTAAACTGACAGCAAACCCCAGACAGTACTAGTTTTCCTTACAAGGAAGACTTGAGTGCGACCATCGCACCCAGTTCCTACTGCTCATTTCCAGCTCGGGATACTTTCGCCCTGAGTTTTTAAGCTGAGAGAAAGGCGCGACCCAAGTACCCAGGCACAGGTGGCTTGGAGAGGGAGAAATCTCAGCTCTACAGGCGGGAGACCGAGTGACCCAACCCGAAGCAGGCTGGAGTGCAGGTCCGAAGGCTCACCGCCCGTCCTGGGTCTGCAAGGATGCCCGGGATCCGCCAGGATGCGCGAGGAGCCCTCGGCTGAGAGAAGGCAGCGCTGTGGCCGGCGCTGGACTCACCACATCCATGATCTGCAGGAGGCTCAGGGAGAAGTAGACGGTGAGCGGCAGCGAGTCATTAGCCACCGGCCTCTCCAAGGGGTTGTAGTTCTTGATCAGCTCCTTGTAGAGCTTTCTCTGGAATTCGCCTTGCAGGGACACTTAGGGAGCAGAGAGCACAGCAGGCTGCTCAGCGCAGGCCGGCGGGGAGCGTCCCACGCGCGCTGCCCTCCCCCCACCCCCGGTGCCGCCCGGACCCGCAGCCCTGCAGCCCCGCAGCGCCCCCGGACCACCCCATCCTGCCCTGCCCGGCGCCGAGCTCCCGGGACGCGCCCGGGATCCCGCCTAGAGTGGAGGACCCGGAGCCGCGGCGTGGTTACCGTGCAGCAGCGACGCGGCCAGCGCCAGCCAGACGCCTCCCCGTGAGCCACTCATGTTGCCCAGGAGCCACGGGCAGCGATCCCGGTCCGCCCCGGACTGCGCCTGTGGCCGAGACGCAGCTCCCGCCGCCTGGGCGCCTTTAAAGAGCCAAGCGCGCCCCCGCCTCGCCCGCGCGCCTCCGCACGTGACGAGCCCCGCCTCTCCTAGAGCTCCCCCCCCGGCCGGCGCGGCTCCGCGGCCACCCGTGGAACTGCAGCCGCGGGCATCGCAGCGACATCCAGCCGGGCAAGGATGATGCTCCAGAGTCCTGGCCCAGCGCCCAAAGCACCCCTGCTCAGCTCTACTCACTGCCTCTGCCTTGGTGTCCTTTGACCCCATGCTGCCCCCTCCAACTCTTTGCCCCCAGCCAAGACAATTCTGGGATTCAGTCCTCCAGCACTCCTTCCCCTATGCCAACATCTGGGTGATAGAGGCAAAGAAGCAGGTTGCTTTAGAAGTTTCTCCTGCCAGATAAAGTAGACCAACCAGGGAGGAAGTAACCCTGTATGTCCCCTGTAAGACCTGGGTTTGTTGTCAGGGATCAACTGGGTATGGGCTCTATTCCAGGGTTATTCTATGGAAAGGGACGCTCAAATGTATGCCATGACATTCCCCAAAGACAGCCTGTTTCAATCTCATTTTCTTTTAAAAGAGGTTTATCTGAAAACTGAAAGTTATCTCCAACCCCTAGCTGGAAGGACAAGCCAAACCTTGATTATTATGTAGACCTTTTTGACTAAAAGAACAGTTAATGAGCAAGGGAAGTTGGACAATGTCACCAGTCACAGAAACCTTTGTCCAGGGGAGTTTTCTTTGTTGAGGAGGTGTAGTTCTGGAAAGTGTAAAATAGTGGTTTCAAAAGTAAGGCCGGCTCTGGCCCCTTTGCTCTTTACTGGCAGAAGTGTGGTTCAGAAAGCCTGCCTTGAAGACTGCCCTCTGCAACCCCTCTTCTCACAGACCCCAGAGCATCCATTCCTTTGGCCCGCCAGACAGCATAAGCAATGACCTCTGAACTAAGAGATGAGACCCTCGGATGACACTAAGAACCAGGGACAGGCTCAACAAAAGATAAACTGAGGAAGACACCCCAAGAGTAGGAATGGGATACTGAGTCCAGTTACTTCGTTTGCAAGAACAGTGACACGTAATGTACTTTCGATGAAGTGTCTTGAAGCAAATCCAGGCCTGTCTACTGATCCATGTGTAAACAATTTTCTAAGATTTGACAACTGCAATGTAAGAGCTTAGAAGAAGGAAAACTGATTGGTTTTGGAGAAGGGTTCATAAAAGACAGGGCAGTTGACCAGGGTTCCCCTCAATGATTAACCTGCATTCCACCGTGGGAAGGGGACAGGGAACCAGTTTAGCATCTGCCTCCTAAGCATCCCCCAGTCCTTTCTACTGCAGTGAGAACCTCACAAAGTGGGCACTTGGTGAAGGGATGAGCTGCTGGCAGAAAAGGCAGTTAGAGAAAGAAAATAAAATCAACCACAGAGAAAGGGAAGAGCAGCAGCACTTTGGCAGCTTCTCACTGGCTGTGGGACTGACTGCAGGGCCCACTCTCCTGCACACAGCCTGCAAGTGACTAAGAACCCTGCCAGACACCACACATCTGGGTGTGGCCATTGAGGCCATATTCTGAAACCACAACTACATCCTTACTGAATTTGGGGTCACATTTTGAGCTCTAGGAACATAACACTATTTGTTATAACCTATAACATCAACAACCTAGAAATAAACGGACTTTGAGAAGGTCAATAACTGTTTATGCTCTGTGCTCTGTCAGACGCGGAGGATCTGCAAGCACAACCCAGTAACTAAGTTGCTGCTCAAATCTGATGTGTCAGTTTCCCTCATGACAATAAGTAGGACTGTAAGTCTGGCTATATTTAGTCTTCTCCATGGGACTTGGTTATTTTCTTATGTAAGGTGTAGGCAATTCTGAATATGGAGCCAACTGGGCTATGCAGCCTCCCCCACTCCCATGGGCTATGTAGGCCTCCCCCCACTCCCATCAGCATAAAGAAATGGTAAAGAGGCATAAGAGAAAATTAGTATATGTTTGAGCTTATGAAGACAGGAACTGAAAACAAATTGCAAATATTACCCAGAAGCTGATGCTGTTTCCATAGCCCGAGGGAGAGGCAGAGCAAGGACAAAGACAGTTTAAACTTTTAATGAATTCTGTTAAGGAAACAGAACCTTGGACATAAAAAGATCGAACTAGAATGGAGATGCCCATATAAATCTACAGACTGAAAACTTTCCCTATCCCACTAAAAGAGACCAGAAAAACCTCAACTGTATTCCAGTGAAAAGAAGTGTGTATTCTGTAAGAACTCTGGACAGAGGAAACGGTAGTCATGCAACCAGCCATTGTGCATCTGATCTAGGGTAGAATCCAGATTCAAAGTGCCCAGGATGTCAACATTCAAGGATTCCAGTGGGGACACACACGCACACACATGTGCACACACACACACACACACACACACACACGACACAACTTCTACAGTTTTCCAAACAGAACTCCAAAGGAAGACCATACTGCTCATGAAAATGAATTCAACTTACAAAATATAACTGTCCAAAGGAATAGACCACACACATATGGGGACAGTCAACATTAAGGCCAAGTCCATAGCAAAATAAACAGCAAAACATGCCCTATAATTTCAGATAATAGAATGACCTAAAAAACTATAAAATTATTTTTCAAATGCTGACGTTTCTGGTTGTGGCGTCGATGGCAGTAGTAGCCTGCCGTCTCCATCAGCTTAACACAGTTGGGATTTATTCCTCACCCGCATCTAGTTCTTTTAAAAATGAAGGATTCTATCATTAACCAGAGAGTAAATATGAGGCAAAAGAAATATCCAAGAACAAATTCTGAGAACTTTTTAATATTGATGAGAAATATCAAACCACGGATTCCCTTGATCTTACATTTGACTGCTGCTGAATTTGCTAATGGGTATTACAGGAATTTTTCATCTATACCTATGAGAAAAATTGATGTATAATTTTTATTTCTTATAATAACATTATGTAATTCTAGTCAAGAATTACAATAGCCTAAGGAGTACATTGGAAAGTAGTTCCACTCCTCCATATTCTGAAATTTCTTATAGATGATACTATTTCTTAAATGTTGATAAGATTAAGAACTGAAGGTTTGTATCTAAAGTTTTCTTTGTGACATTTTAAAAATCATTAAAAATTGTATATGTATGATATGTGAATGTGTGAGTGCAGGTACATATGTACCATGGCACACATGTAGAGATCAGAGGACAATTTTGTGGAGTGAGTTCTCTCCTACCTTTATGTGGGTTCCAGGAACTGAGCTCATGTTCCCAGGTTTCTGCAACCTTTACCTGCTGAGACATCTCACCAGCCCTGCATTTAAAAATTTTAACATCAAAGTCTAGTTGCTACAGTACAAACCAGAGTTTCTATTTCTTCTTGGAAAGGTTTTACTAATTTGTAATATTCTGAGAATCTCATCTTCTAAATTTAAGTAATCATATTTTTGCATATTGTGATGTTTCTACATTGATTAGTTCTGTGTATAAACTCTGTAGAAATGCTTCCTTTCTGTTCCTGACTCCAGTAATTTGATTCCACATTTCAGCTTCATTACTCTTGCTAGAGTTAGTCAACATTATTCATCTTTCCAGAGAACAAATTTTGCTTTCTTAATTTCCTCACCTTTTTTCTTTTATTGGTTTTTGTCTCATGTTTATTATTGCACTTATGCTCACTGTGGATTTAATTTGCTTATCTTACAGAATTCTTAATGAAAAAACAGATCATTGATCTTAGATTTCCTTTCAAATGTGACTAAAGATGCAAATTTCCATCTAAGAACTGCCTTGAGTGCCTCCTCCTGAGTTTGATATTCTACATCCATTACTTGCAGTTCCAAATATCTCCTAGTTTCCTTGTGATTTTGTCTCTGACCAACGTTTGTTTCAGTGTTCTATTTTACTTCCAAATATGTGCTTCTTTTCAAGGTATATAACATTTGTATATTTCTAACCTATGTCATTGTAGCACAGCACATTCTCTTTGATTTCAACTCTTTTATCTATATTGACTTTTTTATCAGACATATGATAAACGTTCTGTCTTGGTGAGCATCCTATATACACTTGAAAAGAATATGTATGCTGAATTTGTTGAATGTAGTGTCCTATAAACCTCAATTGGACACTCTGATAAGAATAACTAAATATTTGGACCTTTATAGATTTTTTTAATTTAAAAGACTGTCTTTGATGATAATTCTCTTTCTCCCCATAACTCTGCCAGTTTTGCTTCATGGGTTTTGAATCTGGGTTTTCTGTGTGTGTGTGTGTGTGTGTGTGTGTGTGTGTGTGTGTGTGTGTGTGGTGTTAATGATTGTTGTGCTAGTGAACTGGCCCCTTTTATATTATGTGATAGTCCTCTTTAATTATGCTATTTCTAGGCTTGACTTCTCTGTGATATTAATAAATCCACATCAGCTTCCATCTGCCTGTTGTTCATATGGAACATCATTTTAAAAAAATATAGTTCTATAAACAACTCATGATTTCATATCTAAAGCATGCCTGGGAGACTACATACAGTTGCTTTCTTCTGGTCTGAATAACCAGAGCTTATTTAGTGTTTAGTCCACTTACATTCAGTGTATCACTGATTTGTAAGTTTATCACTTTTATATGTATTCTGTATTTATCCAATCCATTTTTATATCCATATTCCTACTGTTCTGTCTTTCATCATTATTGTTGCTAATCAAAGTTTAATATACTTGGATTGGTTAAGATGGCTCAGCAGAGGTAGGGGTGCTTGCCACAAAGCCTGATGACCTGAGTTCAGTCTCCAGGGCCTACACGGTGAAAAGAGAGAATCAAGTTTCACAAGTTTTCCTCTGCCCTCCACACACAAAAGTTGTGGCACACACACACACACACACACACACACACACTACACACACAATGAATAAATAATTAATTAATTAAATGTAGTGTAAATTTTTCAAAATTACATATTTCATTTAATTTCCCCTTTTTATTATACATTTACTAAGTGGCTGCTCTGTGGATTTCA